GGGGAGCGGGGGACACAGAGAGAAGGGGGGAGTGGAGGAGGGCGGAAGAGAGGAGGAGTAGGAGGGTGGGAGCAGATTGCTAAGGGGTTGAGCGTGTTGTTGCTGGGTGGGACCTATTACACTTACATACAATGCTTATATGTCCTTACTCTTACACACGTATTTCCCGCCCCTCACCTGCTCGATTTCCACGGGAACTTCCCCATCGATCAAGCCCTCCTCAAAGTGTTTCTCGGGCACAATCACAGAAAATTGTTCAGCTGCCCGAGCCACAGCCTACTGCAGCAGAAGTGGCAGGGAACAAGGAAAACAAAAGGGAATGCATAGAGGGGAAAAAATTAAGGTAAAGGTTGGAACCAGCCAAGATTTCGCTGGAAGAAAATCGCAGTTGGAAAATGAAGAAAGGCAAAAGAAAAGAAGAAAATCAACCAAACAAACAAAAGCGAAGAAGGTTAGTAATATTGAACAGCAGATGTATGTGAAAATCACCCACCTTCTCTTTGAGAACTGATCCTCGTTTGGTTGGGATGCGCCGGCCGATGATAGAGAAGAGTGTTCCTTCCTGCACCACATCTGCATCTGTGAATGCGAAACCGAGCTGAGGAAGGTGCGGAGCGGGTAGGAGAGGAGAGTAATGAGAGAGATTAAGAGGAGATGGGAGAAGAGGGATGACAGAGAGGAGTGCGCCTTCCTGCACCACGTCTGCATCTGTGAATGCGAAATCGAGCTGAGGAAGGTGCGGGTAAGGTGGGGGTTGTGGGAGGAAGTTTGGAGGGTGTTTACAGAGGAGAGAGTTCTCTCCTGCACCACGTCTGCATCGGTGAAGGCAAAATCGAGCTAAGAGGAGAGGGGTGAGGGGGATATAGACGATAAAGCAAAGAGATTACTCCTGCACCATGTCTGCATCTGTGAAGGCGAAATCGATCAGGGAAAAGGGGAGAAAAGGGTTAGGAGGAAAAAAAAGCACTGAAAAAAAAAGCACTGAATGTGATTAAGATCAGTTCTCCTGACTCCCGATGTGACTAGAAAGGGATGCAGAACTTCCAAATGTGACTCAAACGGGAAAGAAGTACCATTGAATGTGACTAAAAGGGAGTGAGTACCTTGGGCCGCTGCTTTGAGCTGCTGCTCAATGAGAAAATGATGAGCCAAGGTGCATGTATGTGAGGGACCTTTTGGGGGGAGAGGGACGTTTGGACGTGAGGGGGCTTTTGATGTGAGGGACCTCTGAATGTGACTAAAAAAGGCAGGAATACCTTGGGATGATCCTCGAGCGTTGACATCACGACTCCTGCTTGCGCGAGCTCCGCTGCTGCTGCTGCCGTGCTGCCATGCATACATCGATGCAAGAATGATCACAATCGTTGTCACATGCATCAGTCCAAGCATCAAAAGAAACAATATACGTATGCAGTGCCAACCTAGTTGTTTGACTTTCTCTACGTGGAAAAACAGCTCAAGAAAATAAGAAAAAAAAAAGGGAGCAAAACAATAAACACAAAAAGAAGTTGTTATGGCGAGTCAAAAGTGCCACACTTGAGCTTACGTGGGCACAGCGACAATATCTCGCAGTGATCTGCTCTGGATTTTGCTGATGAGGCGGTTGACAGCGAGCGAGGACCCAAAGCGTGCAGCAGCAATAAAACCTCTTATAGGCTAGGCTTCAGCTCTTCACTATATGTTCAATAAGCTTGAACTAACGTGGAAACAGCGACAATATCTCGCAGCGATACGCTCTGGATTTTGCTGATGAGGTGGGTGACAGCGAGAGAGGAGCTGCAGTGAACGGCAGCAATGCCATTTCTTGTAGGCCCGCTTCACCTCCTCAGAGCATGGTCAATGAGGCACAAGGTACTTCTTTCCCGTTTGAGTCACATCTGAGGGCACAAGGTACTTACGTAGGCACTGCGACGATATCTCGTAGCGATCCGCTCTGGATCTTGCTGATGAGGTGCGTGACAGCGAGAGAGGAGCCGAAGCCTGACCCCACCCCCACCACCATCCCACTACGGACAAAATCGTCCACCTGAAAACGAGAAGGAGATGAGACGACAAAAAAAAAAAAAAAAAAAAAAAAAAAAAAAAATCACCATTGATGGAGATGACAGATCTGCACCTGGTATGTTTGTGTAAAGCTTCATGAAGAGAAGATTCATTTGATGTTTCCTACGCAGAAATATATTTTTATTCAATAGAGAAGGCAAAGGAAGTGGGAGGAGAAGATGAGCCTTACGAAAGGAAGGGTAGCTGGAAAGGAGAGGGGAAGGGGAAGGGGCTGAGAAAGAGGATTACGAGGGTGAACGCGAAATGAGGGGAGAGGAGAAGGGAGGGAAAGGGGACGGTAACGGGAGGAGAGGGGGGGGGAAAGAGGAGAGCACGGAGAATGCGCGGTGAGAGAATGTGGTCGCAGCAGCGTGAAGGAACATCAAAAGGCGGGGGGAGTGAGAGGGGGGGGAAGTGAGAGAGAAGATGTGGAAATGATGGATTGCAGGGTGAAGGGAATGGGACAAGGGGTACGGGAGAGAAGAGAGGGGATACTGGTGGGAGAATGCAGCCGCAGCAGCTCGAGAGGAACACGGAACAACGTCTCTTCGGAATACGAAGGTTTCTAGGAAATTTGATAATAATCGTAGCCATAGGGGTATGGACGGAGAGAAGGTCGTCTGATCGCGTCAACGTCTGTGGTTACAGTGTAACATGATCTCCTACCTACATTTGCATCTCCCATTGGATCCTAGTAACGTTTCGCGGTCAATTGTCCCTCACCAGCTGCCGCGCCGCGTCTTCCAGATTTGACCCCGACCCACGTCCCCGTGGCGACGCCATCGCAACCACTCCAGTCCTCCTGATTGGCCGACGGCTGCTGACGTGGCTAGCTGATCGCGAGAATGCGGGAACGCGTGGTTGAAGGAATGCGGGTTTTGGGGTAAGCGAAGAGGTTGGGAGCAAGGAGCGGTAAGACGATCCGGCTTTAACGTCGAGCCGCACGAAAGACAATGTTGCGGCCGACATGATGAATATAGCTGCTGCCGGTTTGGCCAGCAAACCGTCAGACGTACGTCAGAGCTGCCGGTATGATATGGACACCGTACCTGACAAATGGATCAACCTCGGCTTGGGGTATAATGGTGAGGGGCAATGTTCCGATACTGTGTTCTTCACTATTAAGTCCACAACATTGGCCAGGTTCCAAGGAAGATTACAGCAGCCAACAAATATACATATTTTTGCTTTTGTTTTTCTAACATCTCTTCCTCTTCAGATTTATTTTTTGCTACTATATATATACATTAAGTGCACATACATATTCAGCACAGAAAAACTATGTTGGCTATAGATAGAGCCTCAAACACTGTAACCCAAATTATTTTGGCCATTTATTTGCTTCTGTCTTCGCCGAGCTTGATGGAGAGGCAGTACATGGAGAGCAGGCGCAATTGACCACCCTTCTAAGCGGTACCTTCGTGAGATGCAACAAGTTTTAACCCAGGCAGTCTAACTGGTGGAGCAGTAGCAGCAGCAAAAGCGCTTTCACTGGCAGCAAGCAGTATCGACATCATTACCATATCAACCATGAACCATTACTCTGAAAACGGCATGGGTGAGAAGGGGTGATGTGGCAGCTGCAGATGCAGCGTGTTCCAACCAGGACGGCCTAATAGATGCGCCAGCTGCAGCAACAACCCCCTTCCACTCTCCACCCTTCAACCCTCCATTCCCAGTCAGGGGATTTGTAAGCTGGGTCTTTCCATCAAAACGGCCATGATAGCAGCTGGCAAATCACGCAGTAGAGGGGGAGAAACAGGGTCCACAGCACAGCCCTGTAGGTGTGACAACGGGGATCGGGGTGGGGGAAGGAGGTTGCGGAAGGGTAAGTTGGGCTCTTTTCGTCAGGTAATGGCCATGACAGCAGCTGGCAGATCACGAGGTAGAGGGGGAGTAACAGGGTCCACAGCACAACCCTGTAGGTGTGACAATAGGGGAGCGCAGTGGGGGGAGAAGGGCGAGTAAGATGGGCAGTAAACTTCAAAGGCATGTTGAAATTCTTAGGATCGTAAACACCTTAGTCGGCAATAGTCTACTTGCTATTGCTTATCGTGTTCTCCACGATCACCCGATTCCAATGATATGCGCAGCTCTGCTTGAAGTTGTCAATACACACTTCAGCAATTTTCAGAATCTGATTGGTTTCAATGTTGTGTTTTCCAGAATGAGTACAAGCAGTTTTATAGTCAAGCAAGACACAAAATGTGATTCGTAACTTCACTTGTTTCCCAAGTAACCGCGTGCGCCTCGTTTCACCCCGAGTCGCACACGGAACCGAACCGAATGCACCGAACACTCCTCAAGTCCGAATCTGGAACCTTCTCGAACACGCCTCGAGCTCGAACCACAATTTCCCCTCGTCAACTTCAATCTCGATACTTCTCCTTCTCTCTTCCTCCTTCTAGCTCATTTCTTCTCGATTTCTCTCCCGCTTCTCACGCCGTAGCTTCTATTCCTCACCGTAGGCCGATTTCCACCGTTTCACCTAGAATCATCCACTCGCTTCCATTTCGCCGTCGTAGAACCTTCTGCCGTAGGTTCCGTGGTTGGGCGAACCAACCCTAACACAAATGGGGTACGGAAATCACACAGGGCTTTGGGTTCAGGGTGATGGAGCAATGTAGGTACAGGTACAGTAGAAAGGCAGCAACAGAGCAAAAAGCATGTCAGGACAGAGGGGAGAGAGAACCAGAGAACAATGGGGCACATTGCAACACACGCCATATCAGGGAACACAACACAAGAGCGGCAGCAACCAAGGAAAAGAAGAAGAAGAAGAACCACTCAGCATATTTTTTTTCTACGGAGGCAGTGTTGAAGAAAAGGAAAAGAAAAGAAAATAGCGAATCAAGTGAACCGAAAAATGGAACGAATCAAATGAACCCTAAGGGAGAGCGAGCAGCACCATGACTAAATTGCGTCACAAGCTTCCTCTCCTTGGCCTTCTCGTGCCGCTACTGTGCCGAGTTAGGCAGGTACACATCACTGCGCCGATGCACCCACTGCTCCACAGGCACACATGCCTCCGCAGTCTCAAAGAGCTCCCCCAGACACGCGTTCACCTCTTCTATCCGCTCCCGCACCACCATGTGCGCCCCTGGGAGCGGGATGAACCGCGCTACGGGTGCCAGTCGCTTGGCCACCCTCTCACCCAGGGAGACGTGTGCAACTATGTCGTCCCTGCAGGGAGGAAGAGAGGGGGATAGAGAAGGAGAGTGAACGGTGCAAAGCAAGGCTCTTGGCCACTTCCCGCCCAGGGAGACGCGTCACGCGTCCAACTATGCCGTCCCTGCGAGGAGGAGGCAAGGACGACGAGAGAAAGAGGGGGAGAGAAGCAGGTCAGTCCAGTCCAGGTTAGTGCACGCTTAGCAGGAATTCTGCATTTGCTGGAGCAGCTCTGTGCTTCCTCCTGCACCGCCACATGAGTCTCAACCAACAGTGAAAGAAATCGAGCCATTGTTGTCGGGCACTTGGCCCAGAAAAATAAAAAGAAAAATCCTGGAAGGCAGGAAGCAAACAGATAGCAAGATAATCGCTTGGCCACCTCATGAGTTCAAACGGTGTAGAAAAGAGACACTCACACTCCATGAATGACGGCGGTGGGGATGCGAGCGCTGAAGATGCTGTCAACGTTCTCTCGGGTCAGCTTGTGCGTCCAAACGGCGTTGAAAGGCCCGCTGGTAGCGTGTGGCGCCTGCAGTGCCCCTGGCGCTGACAGATACTGCACGTACTCCTGCACACACGAGGAGAGCACGATGGGGGACGGGTGGGGTAGACGGTTAGCCCGAGTGCGTCCAGCATATCTGATTGAACTGGCGGAAATGAGTTCAAATGCCCGTTGGCAGGCAGCGTGTGGCGCCTGTATTGCCCCTGGCTCCGAAGATACTGCACGTACTCCTGCACACGGCGAATGCAAGTAATAAGGGAAGTCTGGTGAATAATTTGAGCCAGGTATTGAGACGCTTCAAGGCGGTCTGTCGCCGTCAGTCTTGAGACGTCTCAAGACTCGAACGGGTAGTTGGAGAGCCAACAGGAGCCAGCCCGGCATGCACCCCAAGCACGTGTTGCGTTCTGTCGTGTTGCAAGCGAGTAGTTGCAGATGCTAGCATGTGTCACTTCTGAAAACGACACGTGCATCCAAACAGCCAGTGCTAGAGCGCGCGTGCTGCATTGTGTTTAAAGGAGTGTTTTGAGATGTCTCAAAACACTTCTTCAAACGCGCGTGCAGGAATGCGGCACCCACAAGTGCTTGCGAGCGCTGCATGTGTGTCCACATGCGCATGCAATTCATGCTACACTGCTGCTCTGCTCACCAGGTGCAAAAGGTCTTTCTGGGACGAGCTGCCAACCACCTGCTGCATGAACTCCTCTGAGAAGTGCATCACCAGATCCACGCGCGCCCTGGACTCCGGCGTGTGTGCCCCGACGTGAACCACTCACCAGTCACTGCTACTTTGCTTCACTGCTGCGCTGCTGCTCTGCTCACCAGGTGCAGAAGGTCTTTCTGCGACGAGTCGCCAACCACCTGCTGCATGAACTCCTCTGAGAAGTGCATCACCAGATCACTTCTGAGGTGCCTCAAACGCCGTCTCATGTCTCACGGTCTTTATATAGGGAGGATTTTCAATGCTCACCAGGTGCAGCAGGTCTTTCTGGGACGAGCTACCAACCACCTGCTGCATGAACTCCTTTGAAAAGTGCATCACCAGATCCACGCGCGCTCTAACCATAGGTCTCTTACAAAGCAAATGCACTGCTGTACTCAACTCACCAGGTGCAGCAGGTCTTTCTGGGACGAGCTGCCTGTCACCAGCTGCTGCATGAACTCCTCTGAGAAGTGCATCACCAGATCCACGCGCGCCCGTGACTCTGGCGTGCGTGCCGTCACCAGCTTCGTACCCACGGAGAAGAACCGTCGGTCGAGCTGGCGTCCAGGAAGGGGCGACGGGAAAGGGACTGTTGAGTGGACACAAAAGTCTCTCCTCTGAGAAGTGCATCACCGGATCCACGCGCGCTCTAGATTCGGGCGTGCGTGCCGTCACCAGTTTCGTACCCACGGAGAAGAACCGTCGGTCAAGCTGGTAACCAGGAACAAGGGAGACGAGGAGGGGAGAACAGAAGGCATTATCAGCAAGCAAGCAGCAAGGTCCCACGTGCGCCCTGGACTCTGGCGTGCGGGCCGTCACCAGTTTCGTACCCACGGAGAAGAACCGTCGGTCAAGCTGGTAACCAGGAACAAGGGAGACGAGGAGGGGAGAACAGAAGGCATTATCAGCAAGCAAGCAGCAAGGTCCCACGTGCGCCCTGGACTCTGGCGTGCGGGCCGTCACCAGTTTCGTACCCACGGAGAAGAACTGTCGGTCAAGCTGGCGTCCAATATCCAGGGACGAGGGATGAGGGAGACAAGGAGGGGAGAACAGAAAGAATGAGCAGCAAGATCCAAACGCGCTCTAGATTCGGGCGTGCGTGCCGTCACCAGCTTCGTGCCGACGGAGAAGAACCGTCGATCAAGCTGGCGTCCAGGAAAGGGGTAATGGGGAAGAATTTGGGATGGGAGAAGAAGAGAGAGAAAGGGAGGGAGAAGGGGAGAGAGAAAGGGAGGGAGAGGAAGAGGAAGACCGATGGGCCATGTGCAGATGGGTCACGTGCAGATGGGTCATGTGCAGATGGGCCATGTGCAGATGGGCCATGTGCAGATGGGCCATGTGCAGATGGGCCATGTGCAGATGGGTCATGTGCAGATGGGCCATGTGCAGATGTGTCGTGTGCAAAAGCACTCAAGAGGAACACACAGAACAGGGGCAAGGACGTCACACTCAGATACCATACCCACAGACCAGGTCGCATACCATACCCACAGACCAGGTCGCATACCATACCCACAGACCAGGTCGCATACCATACCCACAGACCAGGTCGCATACCATACCCACAGACCAGGTCGCATACCATACCCACAGACCAGGTCGCATACCATACCCACAGACCAGGTCGCATACCATACCCACAGACCAGGTCGCATACCATACCCACAGACCAGGTCGCATACCATACCCACAGACCAGGTCGCATACCATACCCACAGACCAGGTCGCATACCATACCCACAGACCAGGTCGCATACCATACCCACAGACCAGGTCGCATACCATACCCACAGACCAGGTCGCATACCATACCCACAGACCAGGTCGCATACCATACCCACAGACCAGGTCGCATACCATACCCACAGACCAGGTCGCATACCATACCCACAGACCAGGTCGCATACCCCACAGACCAGGTCGCATACCATACCCACAGACCAGGTCGCATACCCCACAGACCAGGTCGCATACCCTGGGCAGGATGTCAAAGCCGCCACGGGTGGTGCTGATAAGTGCCATGGATTTCAAGTGCCAGGGCATACCACCACGAGTGGTGGTGATAAGCATACCAGTTTTGTCTCACCAGTTTGCCACAGACCACTGGTATACCCTGGGCAGGATGTCAAAGCCACCACGACTGGAGCTAATAAGCGCCAGGGATTTCACTCGGTGGGGAGCAATGGCAGCTACTTTCGTCGCGATCATGCCTCCCATTGAATGGCCCACCACATGGAATTGTGTCCAGCCAAGGTGATCGGCCAGATGAAGTGCATCCATCGCCATGATCGTAGTTCTGGTGAATATGGAAGAAAGGAGAATGAGCAAAATAAGTGCATCTTGAGTTCCTGAAAGATGGGAGAGAAGAAACAGGCCACGAGGGAGACACTTTGCTGGCTGAAACGATAGAGCTTGGAGGTGTAAGACGAGGGATGAGACAGAACAACTGGCTCTCTTGACTGATAGGCTTCTGCTGCTGAGCGACACTTACGCTCTCTTGACCTGAAGCACCAATAGAAAAGACGCACGTGTATGCTTTCTTGTCCGTGGGACACGTGCTCTTGCCAATCCCTCGGTTGTCGAAAGCGCAAACCTCCCTGCCCGTGAGAGACAAATCCTCCTCTTCCTCTTCCTCCTCTTCGTCCTCTTCCTCTTCCTTCTCCTCCGCCCCTCCTCCCGCGTCCCTCTGTTCCTTCCCCCCTTCCTTCAGCCGCAAATCCGCTTGCTCAAGCCCTCCGTCCGCAGCAGCTTGCACATCACTCCGCTCCTCCACACCCTCTTCTGTCACCATGACCGATTTTTTAGGCGCCTCTGAAGCCGCTTGCTCAAGCCCTCCGTCCGCAGCAGCTTGCATATCACTCCGCTCCTCCACCCCCTCTGTTGTCACCATAACGGTACAGTCACTGCTTCCATTGCAACTTGATCGGTCGTCCATGCGCCCGACAGGCGCAGCAGCGGCGTCATCACTTGAGCCAGTGGCTGTTGCGGCGGCGGAAGGGAGTTTTTGAGGCGCCTCAAAAACAGCGTCATCACATCCCTTGCAACCTGATCGGTCGTCCATGCGCCCGACAGGTGGAGCAGCGGGGTTGTCACTCGACCCAGTGGCTGTCGCTGCAGCAGAAGGCGCTGCAGCGGAAGTCGATTTAGCAGTGGGTGTGGCTGCTACAGAAGGTGTGGCTGCAACAGAAGGCGCTGCAGCGGAAGTTGATTCAGCAGTGGGTGTGGCTGCTACAGAAGGTGTGGCTGCAACAGAAGGCGCTGCAGCGGAAGTTGATTCAGCAGTGGGTGTGGCTGCTACAGAAGGTGTGGCTGCAACAGAAGGCGCTGCAGCGGAAGTTGATTCAGCAGTGGGTGTGGCTGCTACAGAAGGCGTGGCTGCAACAGAAGGCGCTGCAGCGGAATCTGCTGCAACAGAATCCGTTTTAGGCTTCCTCGATGCCCGTTTGCTGTTAGGAATGTCGGTGCCTGAGAGCGGCTTGATCTGCGGCCACCATGCGTTGTGCATGGCAGCAAAGCCTGCAACGTGTAGTAGATTTAGAAGTGGGGAAGAACAAGCGACACAGATCGGCAGATAAGATCCAGCACATATGAGAACGAAAAAAGGAGCAAGCCATTGAAATGTGTAACCTCAACGTGTCACTGACCCATGATCATGAGAACTTTCGTGTCGCCTCTGCCATACGTTTCGTAGAACAGTTTCACTTGTCCGTCATCGCTGCATTCTTCCCTTTTCGCACTCGCTCCGTTGTTTCCCTTCGCACTGCTTGCACTTGACGGAATTACACAGTACGGCATCTTGAATGTCGGACGACTTGGAATGGTTGTGTGCTCGCCTGCGCGTTGCGAGAGACACGATGATTAGTTACTTCACAGCGAATCGCGAAGCTGAGTAATCAGTAAACGAACTACCCGATTCGATGCTAAATTTACCAGAATTGAGACTTCGACGCGAAACAGCGGAGGTCGACGGCGAACAGCGAAATTCGACGTCGAAGCTCAAGCTTCCTCGTGAAATCCCACAAGTCGACGCTCAACGGTGAAAGGTCACGTCCAATAGCGAACATCGACGCCGATAACAGAAATTTCCTCGCGAAATTCTAAGACTCAACGCTGAACGGCGAAGAGCGGCGTTAAATAGCCAACTCTGGCAACTAACAGCGAAATCTGGTCTATTGCCAAGATCGCCGTGAAAACTCGACTGAACTCTCTGGAAAGCGACGAGAACGACGCCTTGATGGCTCGGAAAATTGCGAACTGGGAAGCTAGAGTGAGGGAATGGCTGCAAAGCGCGAAGAAGGCAAACTGGAGTGAGGAAAAAACGAGTCGAAATGGTTGCTGGACGAAATGGCTGCTGGAGTGAGGTCCTCGCCTCGCCACAGACCAAACCAACCCCAAGGCTACCGACATTTGCGTCCAGTCGAAAGTCTACAAGAAATCGCAGCCGTTCATCAAAACGAACTTGAACCGCGAAAAAACGCAAACGGCTAAGCGGAAATTCTATGGATTGGTTGACGTTAGTCATGTCAGGAATACTCAAATTCCAACCGTGAAATCTTAGGTCAAAAGTCTGACGACTGGTGGGTATTCGTGTCGGCGGGTTGACAATTTCTAACATGGACACGTAGCGTTGTTGGCTCGGCGGGAAGCAGGGCAAAAGCGGGCGATTAATGGCCAACGAAATGGGTCTCAGGCAACAACGGCGGCGGCAGCCATGGTTAGGGAGGAAAAGCGGGAGCAAGATCTGATGGGAGCAGATTGGAATTGGAGTCTCCCTCTCGCACCCTCTGACACCTGCAACGGCTACCAGAGCCTCGTCCCGCTAATTGGCTCTCGTTTCGCACACCGACAACAAGGTGAGCTGTAACTGGTCGTGCGTTTCGCTAGTGACACTGCGAAAATCATTAATCTTTGCGAAGCGGATATTTGGGCTGATGTTACCTCATGTGGTAGGCTTCGGGCTGCGCATATTTGGGGGTTCCGGGGAAGCCTCCGCCAAATCGTGCCGACATTCCTGACAACTGTTGCGTGGCTCTGAAAATTACCGACTTGTGTGACCTCTATAAGCTACACCGGCCACTACAAGATATTTTGCTATATAATGATCAGGTTACTAACACTGAACAGACATGCCATACCAACTTAACAAAAACCAGGATTTTCATGGGTGAAAAGGCATGAAGAAGGCAAGGTAAATGTTTGCGGGAGTTATATTGGAAGTTGTTTGCCATGTTAAGCCATGTTTACACAATTCCACATAAATTTACTGCAAACCTCCATACAGCGCCAAAAGTGAGTGCACTGCACAGGAACTTTTTGTCCGCACCTCACCACAATCACACATCAAACTCCTTCCTTGCCAAGCTCAGTGCCAGATACCCCCACCACCCAAGGCAACATCCCCTGGAGTGAGCTTGGACTTTAGCGGGTCAGGCAGTTGTGGTGTTGGGGCGTAGAACTTGCCGATGGTAGCCTGGAGAGATAGCACAGGAGGGACGAAGGTTAAACATGAAGAGAAAAGGCAGTGTTGTCCTGACAAGGGAAAGCAATGGATATGCTACACGGAGAACACCCCTTGAGGCCTACCATTCTGTAAACAATTCTTCGAAACAATCACCAGCTGACAAGCATCCAATACACCCAAGCAAAAAGAAGAAAAGGAGAAAAAAGAGGCACCTGCGGCAGCATTTCGTGCACGATGGTGAGCATCCAGTCGCCATTGGTGGAGACGATTGCAGCAGTGGGCGGGCGAATGGCTGCCTTGAGTGATGCCAGGGACGGATGGTCCAGGAACGCCGGCTCCATCACCATCCACACATCACGCGCGCGACCACCCCTGCAGGAGCAGAAAGTGGGTTGCAGGTGGGAAACCGGAATGGTGTGTGTGAGTGTTCAGCGGGGGGGGGGGGGGGGGGGGGGGGGGCAGCGAACATGAACATGTGCTGACAGCGCTACTTCTCCCAAACATCAACACGAATTTGTTTTCGCACTACCAAAGGGCGTTTCTAGGGTTGAACGCAGTGCGGGTACCACTAGGAAGGTTGAACGGGAAGGGCTGAGAGGTGTACCTTTGACTTCTCCTGATGCCGTCTGCTAGCACCTCCTCTAGCAACGCACCCTTGTCCCTGGCGCCATGTGGGGCAAGAAAGAGAGAGGGAAGGAGGGATGGAGTAAGAGAGAAAGGGAGACGGAGAGAGAGAGGAGGGATGGAGTGAGGGAGAGAGGGAGTTGGAGAGAGAGAAAAAAGGTGTTGAATGAGAATGGGTTCATGCAGCACAGAGGCTATAACTGAGGGTGACAGGTCGTGTGAAAAGAGCAAGCCACAGCAATCAATGAGCGAAAATGGCCATAGTTTCGGAGGAAAGGGGAAGGCATTACATGAGGCTGTAAGCATTGGCGAGGGCGAAATAGTACACCTGCGAGCTAGCCATGCACGGGATTTGAAGACGAGTGAGAAGCGATTATAAAACAAGAAAAACAGCAAAATTATGGAATCTGGCAGTCAACACACACCAGGGAAGGGAAGTGCAGGGGAACCAAGAGGAGCCCAAGGAAACCCAGAGAAACCCACACACCTATGATTAGATTCAAACTAGGGAATCCAGAGCACCAAATATAGAGCACGAAAAAAAGAGCACGAAAAGCACCCGCCACTCACCCGTGGTTTAGACAAATCCAGCATGGGAGGAGCAGGGCGGGCCACTTCTCTCCAGTCCAGCCCCCCAAACGCGCCGATGTCTTGCTTCTTATCGTCCTTCTTGGATGATGTCAGTGAGTTGCCTCCCAACCCATAGGCCTGGTTCTGGGCGAACCCGGCTAGCTCCTTGCTGAGGCTGCCGAATGAAGAAGGTGCCGACCCACACGTGGGGCACAGCCAGTCCTCAGGGAGCTCCTTGAGGGATACACCTGGGGTAGGGATTGGGGAGTGGAGTGAAGCGGACATTGGTGGCACATCATTTCCCCCAGCTAGCTCTCCTTGCTCAGGCTGCCAAATGAACCAGGCGCCGACCCACACGCTGGGCACACCCAGTTGTCAGGGAGGGAGCTCCGTGAGAGCCACACTTGGGGGGGTCCGGGAGAAACAGGGGAGGGGAGGAAGAAACAGGGTGCATACTAGTCATCCCAATTGCTAACCGGGCTAGCTCCTTGCTCAGCCTGCCGAATGAGCTGAGCGCCGTCCCACATGTGGGCCACACAAGTGAAAAAATCTCTGCAACCTAGTGGTCTTGAGTCAGAACTGCAAGCAAGTTATTTCACGGAACGAGGGCAACCACAGCTAGATGACATGCGACCGAGGTGCAATACTAGCCCAAAGCAGTGGCGTTTTGGGATGTCTCACATCTGCAACTATCTCAATTGGGATGTCAGCTCAGGTGCAGCAGCAGCACTCACCCGGAGCGACAGGATAAACTGGGTCGCCCTTGAATTGATCGTAGATTTACCCACGAGACTTGCACTCCCACTTGCCCGTGTTGGCTTTTGAGGCGCCTCAGAACTAAACTCAAGTGCAGCAGCACTACTCACCTGGAGCAATGGGATAAACTGGGTCGCCCTTGAATTGATCGTAGATGTACCCACACGACTTGCACTCCCACTTGCCCGTGTTGATCACTGCAAACTTCTCCTCTGCATGGGTTCATTACATGACAAGGGAGAAAAGAGAGGGGAAAGGGGGACAGGCAGCTATAAGGCAGGTTCCTGGCGGCTGGATGAGTAGCCACACAACTTGCACTCCTACTTGCCCATATTGATCACTGCAAACTTCCCCTCTGCAGGGGGGCAGGGGGGAAAACACAACACACGCATCAGGGAAGTGGGTGGGAGGCAGGAATGGGGAGTAAGATACGAGTCAGGCACCTGCCGCCCATATGCCTTGCGCTCCCACTTGTTGTTGTTCAGCTTTGCAAACTTCCTTCTCCACCGTATGTTGAGCTGACAGGAGGAAGAGCGGAAGGGGCAAGCAGTGTGAGAAGCAGTTCTGATTGGTTAGTCGAATACACTGTGCGCGCTTGCCGCTGTTGGCCCCTGCGACATTCAAGACGTCTCAAAGGAAGGACGGGAAGGGGCAAGCAGTATGAGAAGCAGGTCTGATTGGTTAGTTGACTACACAATGCGCGCTTGCCGCTGTTGGCCCCTGCGACTTTCAAGACGTCTCAAAGGAAGGACGGGAAGGGGCAAGCAGTGTGAGAAGCAGGTCTGATTGGTGGGTCGAATACACAATGCGCGCTTGCCGCTGTTGTCCCCTGCGACTGCACGCTTCATTTTGAGACAGCAGAGGTTGCAAGCAACCCTCCCTCGCAATGAAATGACCGCGGATAGGGATGGGGTGGTGAGTGTGGAGGGGAAAGGACACCGAACAGAGAGTATGAATGACATTTCGGAAGGGAAGGGGCGGTAAGGACAGCGTTCGCAGCAGCGTTCGCGGCAGCGTTTGCAGGCAGCGTCAGCACGGACGCACCTGCATAGTCGTTCTCGTGTAGTTTCAGGGGGAACACTTCCAAAAACGCGTTGCACCACATAATATGTTCGACCCTGGAGGTTGACGGATGATATCCTTCTGCCTTTGGCGTTTCAGCATAGAAACGCATGTCGTCGCTGCTGCTTATTGAACCACCTCACAAATTGTTCCACCTCACCTCGTAGTATGATCCACCCTGGAAGCTGGCGGATGATACCCTTCGACCTCTGGCGTCTCAGCATACAAACGCATATCGCCGCTGCTGCTCTACCCGTACCAGCCTTAGAGCCACCCCTTGCTCATCGTGCCCCACTCACCTTCTCGTTTAATGCGCGTGGCGGGTTCAGCAGCGGCGGCTGCTTTTGAGGCGCCTCATAATTCATGCCATCCTTAGAACAACCTTGACACATCGTGACACGCCACGCTCACCTTCTCTTTTAATGCGCGTGGCGGAATCGGCAGCGGCGGCTGCTTTTGAGGCGCCTCATAAGTCATACGAACAACCTTGACACATCGTGACACGCCACGCTCGCCTTCTCTTTTAATGCGCGTGGCGGAATCGGCAGCGGCGGCTGCTTTTGAGGCGCCTCATAAGTCATACCTGTAACAAGGGGCACCTGCGCGGGAGCCAGCGTGAAGCGCACGGGAGGCAGCAACATGCAGCAGCCGTGTGCAAGGGCGAACGTGGGCAGCGCAGGGGAGAACGTGGTAAGCGCAGGGGAGAACGTGGGCAGGACGTGGGGGACTCACGTGAGAAGGACGAAACACAGGTTTCGTGCCTTGACTGACTTTGGGGGACTTTCGCGTGGGACAGGTGGCGGACGTCCAGAATTGAAGGAATAGAAATGTAACACGTGTTCAATTGCAGTGAATAGTACAAATGTAAATAGGAAAGGTAGAATGCAGTCCGATGTTGGGGCTGGCCACCCGAATCAACATCTCGAGCCGCATGTCTGAATTGTAAATGTACTGTACATATAAATGCATTCGTAGGATAGAGAGAGTAGTTTTCTGGTTTCTCTTTCTGTTTGTTCTTCCTTGCTTCTAAGGAAATACTCTTGGGAAGAATTCTCAGCCAGAAACAACTTGAACAAGCCCAAGTGCTGTGAGCTTGTTCCACTTGGTCTCAGAGCCTGTGTTTTCCTCGTGAGTTGCTGCCGGGTAATTTTTGCACCATGGCCGATTCAGAGCGTGATGCCGCGGTTCGAGAGCTTGTAGCCAAGGAGGTGCAGGCTGCCCTGCAGAACGCAGCTGCACAGCAAGGAGTAGCTACAGCTCCGGGAAGCGTAGTGGGATCTATTTCCCATGTGAGAGCATCGATGCCAGACACGTTTGTTCCAGGGAAAGGACAACCGGTGGTTGAACGATGGCTCTTCCTAGTGGAAGAATATCTACGCTTGAGCTACGTGGCTGGTGAGGAGTGGGCGCCGATCGCTGGAACCCTACTCAGAGGCCCTGCGGTTGCATGGTGGCAATCGGTGCGGCCTGTTATTCGAACCTGGCAGCAATTCAAGGGAGCTCTCGTTGCGTCATCCAAACCTATCAACGCGATGGCAAGGACGCGTGATCAACTTGCGAATCTGCGACAGCGTACTTCTGTTGCGGAATACATCGCTGAATTCCGTAACATCTCCACCGAAATTTCAGACCTTTCAACGGCTGAGGCGCTGGACAAGTTTAAGCGTGGGTTGAAAGACGACGTTAGGATGGAGGTGGAGGTGCGGGGCTGTAGTTCGCTTGAGGAGATGGCGCGTGTCGCTGAACGTTACGATGAGATTCACTTCGGTAACCGTCGCAACCGTTTCAACCGTGGGATGCGGTTCAGCCCAAACATGTTCCAGCCTATCCATGGGGAGCAGCGTGGTGGTGCAGGACCGACGCCGATGGAGCTGGATACGATTGATAAGAGCAAGGAGAAGCGGAAGGGCTTTGCTGGAAATTGCTTCAAGTGTAGGAAACGTGGTCACAAAGCACTCAACTGCCCTACCAAGCCTAGGCAGCCAGGAAACAAGCCTCACCAGTAACCTCGGGGCGAGTCGCTGGTGGTGAGGAGTGCCCCACCTTGCTGACTCCATCCTCAACGCCGTTGCAGCAGAAGTCGGAAGGAGCCATAGTACTTCGGGGGTAGATTCGTGGTAAGGAGGTAAAGATGTTGCTGGATAGTGGTGCTTCATCTAATTTCATCTCTTCACGACTGGTGCATGAATTGCAGTTACTTGTGCAAAGTGGTACAGTGGAGAATACAGTGCGCATGGCGGATGGTGTAGTGAGGAGCTGTGGACCTGAGTTGTACCCGGTCAACTGCAACATAGGGGAGTTTCACGGGAAAATTCGTTTTCAACAAATTTGGCTTGACAGTCATGATGTCATCTTGGGCAGGAAATGGTTGGTAGCAGTGAACCCTCAGGTGGATTGGAGAACCAGGGAGGTGAAGGTGCTGTTTGGGGGAAGATATGTACGCCTACCGGTGGTGCAGCAGCAGGAGGCGATGACCTTGCAGCTGATTAGTGCGAAGCAGTTTGGTAAGGCCATTCGAGGGGAGGAAGCAGTCTTTCTAGGTCTCATCACAGAGGTTCAACCTACGTCAACTGACACAGTAACACCAACAGTTTCAGCATCACATGAGGATGAGGAGTTGACTACGGGTGTAGAGAAGCTACTGGAAAAAATTTCAGAGGTTCCCTAAGCGAGCTGCAGATCACAGGATAGAGCTGATTCCTGGATCTACCCCACTTGTTCGACCTACCTACAAGATGAGTGCAGTGGAGCTGAAGGAACTGAAGAAGCAGTTAGAGGACCAGTTTGCCAAGGAGTTCATTCAGCCTAGTTCTTCTCCGTACGCTTCTCCGGTGCTGTTCGTGCGGAAGAAGATTGGTTCTCTGCGAATGTGTGTAGATTTCCGTGGGCTCAACAAGATAACAGTGAAGAACTGGTACCCACTGCCACGGATAGATGAGTTGTTCGAGCAAGTTGGTGAGGCACGGTTCTTCTCGAAGCTGGACCTGCGTTCGGGGTATCATCAGGTGCGGATTCAGAGTGAACATCTCAAAAACAACATTCCGGACACGGTACGGTCACTATGAGTTCGTGTGTTGCCCTTTGGTCTCTCCAACACTCCAACCATCTTCCAAAACATGATGCAGAGCATTTTCAGTGATTTCATTGACAAGTTTCTGGTGGTTTTCATTAATGACCTGCAAGTTTTCAATCACACTCGTGAGGGGCAACTGAAACACCTTGAGCTGGTCCTTGCACGACTGAGAGAGCACTAACTGTTTGCCAAGCGTTCCAAGTGTGAGTTTGGCAAAACTAAATTCTCATTTCTGGGTCATGTCATCTCTCATGGGAAGTTGGAGGTGGTCAACAGTAAAGTAGTAGTGTTGAAGCAGTGGAAGCAACGTACAGTGAAGGAGATGCACGCTTTCTTGGTGTTAGCTAACTGCTACCGGCGGTTTGTGAAGGTTTTGCAGCAGTGGCACCGCCTC